GGGATTCACAATTTAGACAGGCTCATCCAATATCTTAACTCATTGCTTAGGCCAGCAAGATGAGCCCTTCACCTCTGAAAGTTGGGGGGGTGTGCTACTCCAAAGGGCAGGTGTACAATAGAGAAGATACACCTCCTGTGTCCCACTAGATAGCATTTTTTCATGGAGGGAAGCTGAAACATGCCCACCCTGCTGGAGCTTTGAAATATCTCTTTATTGAGGTACAGGCATAGTAGGATGTACTGCATGTTCCTTTTCGTTTTTGGTAATATCAGGAATTTATTTTGAGAGAAAAAATATGGAAGGAAAGGAGAGGGATGCAATAAACAAGTGGTAAATAAAACAAGTGTGAAGCAAAAGCTTGAATCTCATTTGGGAAAATATGATTCCCATGAGAAATGTACTGGAGGACAAATTAATCTCCTAAAAGAATGAATGGAGCATGAATATAAAGAAAGAGGTTGTGGAAGATGGTTGGAATGGAGTGGAAAGATATATGTTGCATAATACCATATAAATGGCATTTATGTTCATAGAATGTATGGGAAAGGATGCTGGGTGGAATGTAGAGAAGAGAGATGTATGTGAGAAAAATGCACATAAGGAATCACTTTCTGTAAAAAATGAGGATGAGGGAAAGCTGATGTATACCGAAAAAAATAATGGGATTAAAAATAAAAGTGAAATGATTTGGGATGGAACTAAAACAAAAAATATTGCAAAGAATATTTTAAAAATCTGTATGAAAATGATAGTGACTGATTATGTTAGAGAGGAATTGAGGCAAATGCTATAAAAGATACTGTCTCAGAAAAAAATATGAAAGGAAATGATAAATACTATGAGAATGTTGCAGATTTGTATGGCTATCGTTAGTATTGCTTTATACTGCTTTGGTAAAATCACACTTGGAATATTGCATCCATTGTACAAAAATGATGTTGCGACTCTAGAAAGAATGCAGAAAAGAGCAATGAACAGATGCAGGAACTACAGTAGGTATGTCCAATCTAAGAGTCTTCCAATATTTGAGGGGCTGTCACAGAGAAAGGATCAAGCTATTCTCCAAAGCATCTGAAAGCAGGAAAAGAAATAACAGATGAAAACTTATTAAGGAGAGATCCAATTTAGAAATGAGAAATTTCCTGATAGGGAGAACAATTATTCAGTGGAACAGCTTGCCTCCAGAAGTTGTGGACGCTCCATCACTGTAGGTTTTTAAGAAGAAATTGGACAGCCATTTGTCTGGAAGGACATAGGGTCTCCTCTTTAGCAAGAGTTGTACTAAAACACCTCTAATGTCCCTTCCAACTCTATTATTCTATTATTCTTTGAAAGAATAATAGAAATATAGGTATGCTTTGCTTATGCAGTGGCTGTGCAATTTATTATTGTCTGTGTATGTGAAGACTGCATCTATGCCTTATTCCTGGAAGGATTCTATTATTCTCTTCCATAACAGGAAACACGACAAGTATGAATGCAAAAACTAAAGGGCAATTACTTTGATAAGTCTGCTTGAGAAAGTATTTTGCAAAATACTGATTGAAAGGCTAACAACAACGTTTGGGAAGTGCAGCATGGGGTGTGCAGACAAGAGTTTTACTGTGTAAGAGATCATTGAGAAATGTACGATGAAAAGAAAGTTGACTGTGCATTTGATGAGTCAAAGAAAGGATCTAATAAAGTGCATAGGTCTGACTTGTTTCTCTGAACACCGAAGTTGAAAGCTGGTTGCTGAATACAATATGAACAATATTTGATGAAAAGAAAGCATATGTGAGATTAAATACAATATATAGTTAATGGTTCAATATTAAGCCAGGAGTAAGGTTATGTAATATCCTCTTGGTTCTGTATTTATAAATTGCTTTAATGATATCAAAAATTGGCTGCAAATATGAATATAGGTGTACTGCACATTTGTATACAGATAATGACATGTTGTTTGCTAAGAACCCAAATAATTTCCAAGAAATGTTAAATAGATTGTATGATGCAATGAAAACTAGAGCAAGTAAATTAACCTTGGTAGAATTTGTATTAAAGGTGTGAAAATGGAAAATGTTAAGAGAAATGAAATGGCTTTCATATGGTCTATTGTGAGAAACAAATGCTTGTTGACAGAAATGAAAAAGGCTGACAGACTGCTTCTCCCAAGCCAGATCATGTATTAAATATGATCGTATTGTTACAAAGGTTGTGTGTAAAGTCAATGCTTCACTCCCATGATCTCAGAGGTATCGAGAACATTAGTGACAGCAAGGTTGTGGTTGCTAAACTCAAGCCTACTCAGGAAAATCCAGCCTGACCTTAAAGCCAATGAAATAAATTTTAATAGTCTGTAGTAAAGCTATGAGACACCAAGAACAAAACTGAAGCTCCGGCAATAAGGGACCATTGCTGAGAAAGCCCTGTTGCTTGTCTCTGCTAATCTAGCTGTTCTAATGGCAGACTCGTAAGTGGAACTGCTGACTATTAACTAGATTCAAGCAAGTTTCAGTAAGATAAAATAGTAATCCCATTTCAGACCTTTTCATACAAGACAATTAGAAAATCCTCTAAAATCAATTTGATACCCAATGCTACTGACATCGATGAGATGCAAGTACTGTTTTCTGTTCTGTACCAACCATCTGACAGCTGCATGCTTATACTGTCTGGACTTTCTTGCCTAATCTCAGAGAAGACTGACAGGAAGTATATTTCAACAATCCTGATTCAAAACAGGGTTGCAACATATTACCTTGAAGTATTCACAGTTATTTTGCCACTGGGTTTCATAGATAACAAGACCAAGCAAACCCCCAAGGGGAACCCACAAATTCCTTATCTAATCCATGGAGAGGTGTGTAGATGCATTTGTCTTTAAACATCATCTAGAAGAACCTGTTTTGCAAATGCACAAAAATGGATTAACTTTTAAATTGTTTTCCTATCTGCCCCCAAAAGAGTACCAAATGTTGATTCAGGAGATCCACAACCTTTCTCAGATTCTTATGCAAGAAAAAAAAGCAAATGATAGATAGATAGATAGATAGATAGATAGATAGATAGATAGATAGATAGGCAGGCAGGCAGGCAGGCAGACAGACAGACAGACAGATATGTAACTTATGCTTCCACATGTCTTGCAACAGTGGGGAAAATATACCCCAAAATTAAAACTCTCTGTACTCTGCAGATCAAAAGCTAAGGATTGAAAGAAGATTCTCGCAAAATAAACCTTTAAGACTGGTGATCTAGATAAGGTAGAAGTTATTACAGTAATGGGTCTCCTATTCCAAATCAGATAATAGAGACAGAGAATATTATGGTCAGTAGTGTCAAAAGTTAAAAAAATATCAGCAAGACCCACTGGGTTTCATTATTATTGAGTTTAGCTACTTTTTGCTTTCAAAACTGGTTAAAATCCAGAATGAAATGTATTTAAATTAGTTTTTCATAAGAGTAACCTGTTAGATCAAGTCAAGGCCCATCCTAGTCCAGCCTTTTGATTGTCACAGTGGCCAGCCTGAGGTTTCTGGAATGCTCATACGCAGGAGGTGGGAAAATTCTGCCTCCCAATCATTTCCGTACATATAGTATTTGGAAGCATGCTATTCCCAGTGTGATAGTAACACAGAGTCTTCAAAACTATTGGCTTTTGACCAATCTACCCTACATGAATTTATCAAATCTCCAAGTTTCTTTCGTCCATTCCAAATCTACTTCACTGGATAATTTTTAATCCTAGTCTATTGAATCTATTGAGAGCCTGATTAAAAAAAAATTCCTCTCCAATCACACATTCCTCCTCAGCTGCCTTTTTTTCTAAACTGAGATGCCATGAGCATATTTGATTTTCCTTATAAGATGATTGACCCCCCTGAATATTTTAATATCTGCTTTCTGCACTTTTTACAGTTCTATTATTTTTCAGATAATAATTGGATATATTCAGTAATACTATTGACATATACATATAAATTGGTATAATAGCACTGTGTCGTTATGGTCTTCTACCAAGACTACTTGAATTCTTCTTTTCAATATTACTTGGGACTGGTGAGCCATTATCCACTATAGAACTTTGCTTTTAAAAGGATGGGAGATGAGATTATATTTATACAAATTCAAGGGATATAATATAGGTATCTTTCTAAATTGTCTAAAAATTAGACAATTTCCTCCTAGAGAAATTGACATAGAACCCAGCCTTTATGGTTTGCTAAATATAGCTTAGAGTTTAGTACATTGTGTAAATCCAGCCAATATTAGTTTATTCAACAAACCATGGCTAAACAAACCTCAGTGTACTACAATATGAAAACCCATTCATTATCTCACTGGTGCCATCCATTTTTGTTCTCTTGTTTCTGCTGCTAAGACCATGGCTTTAAAAAAAAACACAATTGCTCGCAAATGCTTCAGCTTTCTATGGCTCAATATTATGCAGTAATGTTTAGCTCCCTCTATCTTACTTGTCTGACACAGCCACCTGGTACTTGTTAATACATTTGCTGATAGCCAGGTGCTTACATAAACCTGTTACGAACAGGTATTCATTTCAATTTAGAAGACTGCAATATTTTATGTGAGAACTCTAACATTTTAACGAGATCCCTGTTTTAGGGCTGCAGCACCTCTGTATCTCCTCATTTTCTTGGATTCAGTGCATATTAACTGACACATGCTTTTGTCTGCAGTCAGGCTAATTCCTGTTTGGCTTGAAAGCATTGCTTCAACTTGCTTCTCACAACAGGGGCTGAAACTTTCTGAGCACCCAAACAAGCCTATTCAATGTGGGACTGAGTAGTGGTTGCGTAAAAAAAAGGACACAATGGACAAGTTTGACGACATTACAGCTGAGGGGAAAAATCATATAGTTGACTAATTTACTCCTTGGTGTGTTTTAAGAAACAGTACTGCTGCCAAGATTTACCATACTTTTTATTGTACTTTACAGAGTTCAAAGTGCTTCATGAGCATTATCTTTGCAATCACCATTGCAATTAAAGAAGTGGTGGCCACTGTAATACTTAGAATACAGGTGATTATTCAAAGTGATTATTTTGTGATAGTGGGTCTCCTGTTTCACAAGTTGCTGCTTTACCCACCTTGTTCCTCTGTCTTGCAATAATGCTCAGAACTACCTGTATGCATAGTCTGTGCTTTGAAAGGACTCTTTGATTATTAAAGGTAGGGGGACACTGTCACAGAAAAATGTGGCATACATCTTCATTATGCATATATCTGCCATTATACTCCTGCATGCACTCGGAATATATGCCTTCTGGTAGAAATCCTCAAGCACCCAACCTGAAGTCATTTTTTTCCCTATTTTGGCTCAATATTGTCCCCTTGGATAGTCCTAAAACAAGAGTTAACCAAGCAACGTCCATAACTGGAATATTTCTAATGAGCTGTAGAAAAAAAAATCTGTGTTGACAGACTAAGGCATATAGATCCGTAAGTTGAGTTTCACTTGTAATGACTTCATGTGAATATCTTCATACCGGTATGTGTGTGTATCTGTGTTGGGGAGAGCAGCTCAGTAGAAACGATTTGCAAGGCTTTTTCTTTCTGAGATACTTCACTTCTCAGTCCAGCCTCCAGTCCCGAGAATTGCCAGCGATCTCTCCATCCAAACCATGGTTGACCCAGTTTTACTTTCAGAGGTCAGCCAAGGTCGGCTGTCATCCGCTGTGGCCCTTCTGCGGGTAGCCTTCGGCAAATCCACCCGACGGGCTTCTTTGGGGGGTGTACTTAAGGAGGGGGATGAAACGCAACTACATCAAATCGTTTCCATTTGGACGGCGCGGAGATACGAGACACATTCTGGCACTTCGCCATAATCACAGGGTAACTGTACGCGTTGGATTCCTGCTTCCCCGACGGCGCTGAGCCCCAACTCCTTGGGCGGCTGCTGGCTGCGAACCGGAGAACTGGGACCTTTCCCGAGGAGCCTCCCCTTTTGTGGGCAGGGCCAAGGAGAAACTCTCCGCCGGGCACGGAGCGGGCGAGCCAGTGTTGAGAGCCAGTGCGTGTTTGTGAGACTCTCCAGCTGCGCCTGCCTTCGCCTGCCGGGGAGCGCAGCGTTCCCGCTCGCCCCCCTCGCTCGCCCCCGGCTGGCTTCCCCGCGGTTGTCCAGAACGGGACGATGTCGTCTTCCTCCTCCAAGGCGTGGAGCTTGGGGCGCCTGTCCCTTTCCTCCAGGAAAGGCAGCCTGAAGCCCTCCGCCCTGGAGCTAGCCGAGCACGCCCCCAACGCCCACTACGCGCCGTTTGCCGTCTCCGCGCCCACCGGAGCCCAGGGCGCGAAGGAGCCGCCGACCAGCGGCGAAGTGGCTGAAGCGGCCACGGTAGTGATGAGCGCCGATTTCCCGCGCCCGCCGATCAGCCTGGACCCGCGCGTCTCCATCTACAGCGTCCGCAGACCTCTGCTCAGCCGCAGCCACGTCCAAGGCCGGGTCTACAACTTCTTGGAGAGACCCACCGGCTGGAAGTGCTTCGTCTATCACTTCACTGTGTGAGTCCAACAACTTTTTGCTCTCAACTCTCGCCGGCCGGTCCTGTGGCCGCCGCCCCCTTCCTGCTCCGGGGAGGCGGCGGCTGACCTCTAAAGTCCCTCTTTCCTTTCCTGGTGGCCTGGTTAAACCCCCGGAGTCCGGGGAGGAAACGGAGAGGGGAAGGCCAGCACACTTCGCTCCTGGCGTAGAAAAGGCGTGAAGGCGCCGGGAGGGTGGGCTGGAGAGAGCGAGCGAGCGAGAGCCCGGCCTCCCTCCCCGCTCCTGGAGTTGGAGATTGTGGGATGCCTGAGGTTCTGTCGCAAGTGTGTAGCCGGAGAGCTCTTCCTCCCGCGGTTGACGTAGCCCCTTGTCTGCTGTCAGAAAGGAGTCTCTCGCCCCCCCCCCCGAGATTAGTGAGATGGAACTTGGGGGGGGGGGCAGCCTGATGCAGGAGGGCCAACTACACACTGGGCTCGCTCCCCCTCCCCCCCTCCGTTTCCTAACTGCATTTGGGCTGCCCAATACTTCATCCTTCAACAGAGTGTAAAAATACCGCTCAGGCAGTAAGTCAGTCTGCTGGAGTTCAGCTCCTGGGCAATTGTAAACAGGGTTTAAAGTGCAAATGTGTGCCCTAACTTCTGTCACGGTTAAGTTGTAAAGCACATATGAGTAAATGTTCGTGTGCAACTGCCTATATTGAGGGCTCTTTCGGGACTCCAGTTGCACAAATTCTGCAAATCCTGTCTGTAAGATATGCTCTCATGCACAGTACGGAAAAGAACGGGGCAGATAGAGACTCTTGTTTTGTTCCAGTCATTCATAATCCATTTAGCAAAGCAAAGTACAAGGTGCTAAGAAGTTATACTTGCTGTTGTACCAGAGCCAATATTTTGTTGTCCATGGGAAGGAACTTTTAAGTCATCTGCCAGAATTGATCAATTCATTATTTGGAGCTGAGAGGCCTTAACTGCACAGTGCACATATACTTAAGTTTAAAAAAGAAATAGGGAAAAACTGATTTTTGAGCTCACTGGGTTAGAGTTATGGAATGGTAACAAACTATGTTTAATCCTTTCCTCCATCCATCTTTTTTCTGCTCTAGATTGGCCTACCTGTAGTACACATGTATTTCCTATTCCATAGTGTTCTCCCTTATATTTAAAGAAGAGAAACTTATTTTTTGAAACTTATAGGATGAATGCCTCTTTGTCACTCGCTTCTGTCTACCCTGCATTTCTCTGGATTTCCTCTGTAAAATTGCTAAACTTGTGTTTCCCTTTTCAAATGTGCATGTGGAATGCCTGAAGTAAGAATCTGGAATGCACTGGCATAAAAAAGGATATTGCACCAAAAGGGTCAGGAAAATGGTAGTTCAGAATGAGTAACTGATGGTAAGAATTAGCAAAAGAAAATCATTGGAACTTTGTGTGTGTGTATGTTTTCATACAGTCATTAAGATCACAACACGCTTTCAGATTTATTTTACTGTGGTGATGCAGTGGCTAGAATGCAATACTGCAGGCTACTTCTGCTGACTGCCAGCTGCCAGCAGTTTGACAATTTGATTCTCACTGGTTCAAGGTTGACTCAGCCTTCCATCTTTCTGAGGTCGGTAAAATGAGGACCCAGATTGTTGGGGGCAATATGCTGACTCTATGAACTACTTAGACAGGACTGTAAAGCACTGTGAAGCAGTATATAAGTCTTAAGTGCTATTGCTATTGCTACTGGCATACTAAACTAGCCACAGACCGTAGTTTGCATTTGTGGCTTGTTTAGCTTACCAATAGAAACCCACAATGGTTTATAAGCGATATTATGACTTAAAATGGTGTAGCCCAAGAGATTGTTGACTTAAAGCACTCTTTCATGAATAGCAGGTGATAAGGTCTGATCCTATTGCTATTTAAATAATCACATGCAACTGTTATCTTTCATTTAACCCAATTGAAGCAAGTCAGATGAAGACAAAAACTGTGATAATTAACCAAAGGTGCTTTTTCAACAGGCAACTGGACTTGCTTGTTTTTCTTTGAAGATGTTCCGCTTCTCATTCAAGAAGCTTCTTCAGCTCTACTGGATGGTGGGATAATTAACCATCTTTTGAAGAAGCTTCTCTGTATTGCGATTGAAATCTATGTTCAAAACTTTTGGTCATTTATATAAGAACACTATTCCCCCACTCCCAAAATATAAACGTTGAATTGATTGGGTGAATATGACCTGACAAGTAAAGAAGGGGAAAGAATTATTCTGTCATATTAGTCTTTGGGTAATATTTTTAAAACAGAAAGGACTTTATTAACCATTTTCCTGTTACCAGTAATAATTTGTACTTTGCCTCTTGTCTGATTATTTATCTGGTAGGATTAGAAGTGGTGAGCACATGTAGCCTCATCAGAACATTGAAAGTTCTTTCTGCTCCATCTACAGATTATACGTGTGCCAAGAATTGAGAGCATAAGTATATCCTGAAACACAGTAGCTGCCTTTGACATTCTGCTTAGGAGAAACATAAATGATTTGTTTCTTTATGTTGATATATTTAAAATAGCAATTGTTACAAACCTTACAAAGCTGTTTTGAGCCATGACCTTAACAAGAGATATCAACAGTAGCAAAATAAAATGTACAACCTTTGCATGTAGAAGTGTTATATTTGTCTAATCCAAGTCACTTATCAAGATGGGATCTTGGGTATAACACAAGAACACTGTGTATATTTGAGAAAGTAGGTTCAGATATTATGAGCGGACATAATTTTTTAACATAGAAGCAGCACTTAAGCAGCAAAACACCATTAGAATCTATTTGCAACAATGCCTCTGAACCCTACATATTCCACAGGCATGCTTAGACAATAAAGTAGTAGATGGTTGCCAACGGAGAGATAAGAGCATCTTGAAGGGATGGGGATGTGGAGCAACCTCATTGATTTATTAGCTAGTCTACTTTAATACCTGTATCCATCCAGTTATAGATGCCTGTCAAATGCCCAGCTCTTCGATAGCTGTTTCAACAAAAAATAATTCTTCTAAGCATGTTTTTTCATGGTATTCTTTAACAAGATTTATTACACTGAAAGGGTATATGGGTTTTTGGTGAATGAACCATTTCCTATTTAGAGTCAACTTATTCCCAAATTTATTAGACCAGAGACTTTGTTAGTTTCTTCCTAATAGCTTTCCAGTAATTGGCAAAGAGATGGTTCTTTTCACTGACAATCGATGAACTTGCAAAATAAGTGGCTATTTACAAAACTGTCTTCTGAATTCGTATCAGTTTGGTTATATCATTACATCAATATTGCAAGCCAATTCAATTTGATTTTTTTTTAATCAGTTTGATGAAAAGGGCCTTTGAGTGGAAAAGCCTTGCCAGACTATCAAACTGATTTGAATCCATCTGACTCAATTCAATCTGAATTGTTGATCCAGTTTATAAAGTCAGCTCAATTTAGTGATTATATTAACTGCCTTCCCCGTTATATGTCCAAAATAAACTTTTGCACTGCATAGACCTGCTACTTTCCCCACTGCCCCATATTCCATCTCTTTAGTTAGCAACTGTGTGAAGCAGGTTTCATTCTCATGGGTTCCCCACCCCTTCTTCTCTATCATTTTAGGATTTTCTTTGTTATAAGGTTTTATGATGGTTCTGATGTTGTTTTTCTTTTGGTATTTCTGGAATGCTTGCCTTTTAATATAATCTTATAAATGGATTATATTACAAATGGTACTCACAGTTTGAGCCCTGGAAATAGATATAATTTATGCTTTGTTATATAAATCTATATAATCCTATGAAGGAAAATAGTCCAGAGCTGGGACTTCCATAAATTCTGGTTGCAAAAATTTCTGATTCTATGAATTGATATCACCTGATATCAGGTAAGATGGGGGATGATAGATAGATAGATAGATAGATAGATAGATAGATAGATAGATAGATAGATAGAAAAAAATATCACAGGACGAATGATTGATAACTCTATTTTGTTACTTTCTGTTTTGAAAGATTAGCAAGATGTTGAGAATGTGTTTATTTTTATTTATTATTACATTTGTTTCCCTCCATAATCTCAAAAGGCTTTTGGGATTTTAATCCAGCTATAGATGTGTTAATTTTGTATGTGAATGTGAATTAACACATCTATAGCTGGATTAAAATTAGAAACATATATGATGGGGTCCTGCAAGTAACTTGGTGCCAAGCCATCAAGGGTTATTGTTAGCCCCAGTGGATATAGCGGACCAGAAAATCAACTCCAGAGGTAGGCTAATGATACTTTTACTGAGGCTGCCTATAATAACAAAATTTTGCAAGTCTGATTCACTCCAGTGAAATCTAGCTGAGTCACTTCCAAATGTTATCTCGACATAAAAGTGCTTCAGATACTTTCGCCTAAGTTAGGGGTATTCCTGGCTCAGGAATTCTGGGAGTTGAAGTCCACGAGTCATAAAAGAGCCAAGGTTGCCTACCCCTGATCTAGATAATAGTTCTTGCATATTTCCATCAAGATCATCTATCTATAGCTTTATATAGATAGCACTTTAGTACAGCAATTTAATTATACCTGAAAATTCATTGATAACCATTTCAGGGCCTGCAGCACAGTTGTTGCATTCTCTTATTGGAGCAGGCTAGCTAATATGCACTGGCCAATTTCACTTTTAAACCAACTGCAGCTACTGGGTGGTCTTAAAGGGAACACCATGTAGACCACGGGTGTCAAAACTCGATTGCATCACGTGACATATTGTGATGTTTTTTTTGCCTTTGCGGAGCCGAGGTGGGTGTGGCCTGTGCATGACGCCAGTTTGACACCCCTGATGTAGACCATGCTGAAGGATCCCTGACTGGCGATGAGAAGGGCATGAGTTACTGTAGTGAGGAGATGAAAGGAAAAGGAGTTTGACAGATCTGAACATTTATAAATCCACTGTTAATGAGAAATAAAATGCTGGACATACTGCAATATGCTCTACACGGGGCTGTCCAGGAAGCTGCAACTTGTCTT